TGCCTTCGAAAGTGGTATTGGTAGATCGAAAAATAGCACCTTAGAAAGGTTTCATAGGTCGGTTATCTGGGGTATATTAACTGGTTAAAAAAAAACTACGGGTGTCCTTACGTGTTATCCAATCATTTCTATGGGGAGCATTCCCGATAAAATGTTCGGCAGGGAGGGCCAAGCAAACAAAACAAAAAAAATGGGCCACATTGTAGCGTCTCCTAGGCGTGAGATTTTCAACAGTTGGCTGAACTTTGAGGCCGTTTAATTATATGTTATTGGTTATTCATTTCTTTTGCTGTATCCTATAATATCGCCACAATGGTTACGATTTTTTGTAAGAAGTTATCACCGTATGTGGCACTTTCAATCGTATATTTGCATAGCGGTTTGCGAGTGTCTGTCTCGTTGACGCTGATGTGGCAGCGACAATGACATCAATATCGATGAGGATATTTGCACAGAATTCTGAATTGCGTACACAAAAAAGTGCGAATAAGATAAACGGAACGTACGACTTTCTTCCGGTTTTAGTCACCAGTTGTGAAAAGAAACGAGTCATAAAAAAGGGTACAGCCCGTATCGGACAGTTTCTCATTCGTTTGTGGATGATAATATCGTGAAATGGGTAGGTTCGTACCAAACCTTGCCAAGCACGGATTTTGAGAAAAATTCACCAAAAACCACTTCCGTCTATTCTAACAGGAGGGAGGGTTATGGCTAACAATGCGGCTTACTGTTATTTCCAATTTGGCAGAGGATGAAGATCCCAGGATGCGCACCATTTCATGTAAGCTTTACACACACCCCAAATCTAATCCTAGCTCAAGTTGTGATTAATTACGAGGCGACAACCCTGTGTTTCCAAAAACGAGATGCACGTCGAGTGCAGACCATACACCACAAGTGACGACGGCCTCCACAAAATGTAAATGTTTTCTGCCAATGAAATGATTAGCCTGTTGCAGTTGTATTCTATCAGTTGTCACTAATTACAACTATCATTACCAACTATCAGCTATCACTATAAGTCACTAGATACCAAATTTACTTGAAGGTCATGTCTGCACCTCAGAAAACCGCGAGTTCGATCCCTGCCGAGGCTCTAAACCATGCCTTGCAAAAATTGCAAAAATGGTTCTAGTACCAGCGTCAGGCCCAGGTTGACAGGCCGGCTGATGAAGACCCCCGTCACAACAAATATGTCTAAAGTCGAAAAAGGAATCAGTGATAAAGCTAGGACGTCACCCGGAAGTGGCGCGCAGAACCCCCGCCCGAGTTCTGTGGTCAGTATGCGAGGGCTACCGAGGAGTGAACGGCCTCGGCCAAAGAAGCTAGTTCGAATGGGACTCTGAACGTAGGATCGCTAACTGGGAAGTCCCGAGAGGTTGATGCCTGGAGAACAAGTACTATCGTCCCCATCTTCAAGCAGAAGGGTGACGCGATGGACTGCTCCAACTACCGCGGGATCAAGTTGACTGCGCATACCATGAAGTTGTACGAGCGCCTGGTCGACTCGAAACTGCGGGAGCTGGTCCCGATCTCCCAGGAACAGTTCGGGTTCATGCCCGAAAGGTCTACAACGGATGCCATCTTCATCGCAAGGCAAGTGATGGAGAAGTATCGAGAAAAGCGCCGACCCTGCTACCTAGCCTTCCTCGACCTGGAGAAGGCGTTCGACCGGCTACCACGAGCGGTATGGAGAGCAGCAGGGAACGGAACGTGCCAGAACACCTGATCTCTCTGGTGAAGGACATGTACGATGGGGCTAAGGCAGCACCCCATACGGCCTAACGAAGGAGGTGGACATCACGGTTGGGGTGCACCAAGGGTCAGCTCTGAGCCCGTTCCTCTTCCTCCTAACACTAGATGTCCTGGTGAAGGGCTCATGGAAGGACCACTGAAGACCATCCTCTACGCTGACGACATCGCCCTGATAGCGGATAGTAGAGAGGAACTTCAAGCCAAGGTGCAGAAATGGCAGAAAGTCCTGCAGAAGGTGGGCTACGGCTGAATGTCAAGAAGACCAAGTTCCTGAGCTCCGAAGAGGGTGCAGAGCCGATCGTGGACGGCCATGGTGAGACCATCGAAAGAGTGGAGGACTTCCGATACCTTGGAAGCGATCTGGCAGCCGACGGTAGTGTGGATCAGGCGGTGAAGGCTCGGGTCAACGCTGCATGGATGAAATGGAGGGAGTCCACTGGAATCCTCTGCGATCGAAGGTGCTCCAGAGCGCTCAAAGGGAAGGTGTACCGGACAGTGGTAAGGCCTGCGATGCTCTACGGCAGCGAGTGCTGGCCCCTGAACAAGAATCACGAAAGGCAGCTTCACTCTGCTGAAATGAGGGATGCTGAGATGGGCCTGCGGCTGGACAAGGTTAGAAACGAGGACGTCAGAGCGGTCATGCAGACTGCCCCTGTCCAGCTAAAGGTACGAGAACAGCGTCTGCGATGGTATGGGCATGTGCTAAGGAGGCCACAGGACCATCCGATAAGAACAGCGATGGACTTCGAAAGTACAAGGCAAGCGACCGCGAGGAGCCCGAAGAAAAGGTGGAAAGACGTAATCAAGAAGGACCTAGGTGAGGTCGCGAGTATGAACGATGCTATATGTAGGTGAAACGCTGCTAATGTTACAACGAATTTAATTTGCATATTATATACCAGTTGGCGCCGCACGCGTTGCGCGCACAGCACAGTTTTGCAGCGATATGGGGTGGTGCGGCGTAAATTCTCGAATTAGGCACAATACACTTCGAATATTTTACTTTCAAGCTGAATTCTATCCGAATGTCCCATGCCTCATCCACCGATGGCTTTTGAACTTCAATATTTCGTCAGCTAATTGACCGCTTTTACCGGTCTCGGACTGTACCTATGTTTTTCTTCCTCGCCAACCTCTCCCCACTTTTTACCCGATCTCTGGACTGTCTCTGAGCCGATTTATATTTGGCCGTAAAACCTCCAGTTTTGGTTTACCTCCGCACACCATTAGAAATTCAATCCCTTTCCTTTGCCCACTTTTTCCCGATTTCCAGGACTATTTGGAGCCGAGTTACAAAATTTTCTTAATAACTCCGCCCACACTGGACATGCCCAGTCCAGCGTGGGCGGAGTTATTAAGAAAATTTTGCATAGCAGTAATAGTAGTTGGCCTCCACTCCTTCGCCTACCTCTATCCTACTTTTTCCCAACCTCCGAGACTTCTTGGAACTGAGTTATGAATTTCCGTCGCAAACTCCGCCCACTTTGATGCACGCTTCACCCACCAATAGCAGCTGTTCTCCCGTGCATTGTCGGACTCGACCCACCTTATTTCGGTCTCCCGGACCTCTCAATATGATAAGTTTAGGGCAAACTCCGCCCCGTTGTTGCTCGTCCCACCCACCAATGGCAGTTGACCTCCCTTTCGTTGACGGACTCAGTTCACTTTTTTCCCGGTCTCCAGGACCTCTTGGAACCGAGTTATGAATTTTCGTTGATAACTCCGCCCACTTTGAACATGCCCCGCCCACCGATGACAGCTGGCCTCCACTCCTCCAACCACCTCCATCCACCTTTTCCCTGCCTCCTGGACTTCTTGGAACCGAGTTATGAACTTTCGTCGCAAACTCCGCCCACTTTGGTCAAGCCCCGCCCACCATTAGCTGGCCTCCACTCCTCCACCCACCTCCATCCACCTTTTTCCCGGCCTCCGGGACTTCTTGGAGCCGAGTTATGAATTTTCGTCGCAAACTCCGCCCACTTTGGTCAAGCCCCGCCCACCATTGACAGCTGGCCTCCACTCCTCCACCCACCTCCATCCACCTTTTCCCGGCCTCCGGGACTTCTTGGAGCCAGTTATGAATTTTCGTCGCAAACTCCGCCCACTTTGGTCAAGCCCCGCCCACCATTGACAGCTGGCCTCCACTCCTCCATACACCTCTATCCACCTTTTTCCGGCTCTTTAAGACTTCCCCGACCCGAATTATGAGGGCTTGTAGAAAATGCTGTACACTTCAGAGCGCGCCCCGCCCATTCTGGGCGGGCCTCCGCCCACGTCATGTATGCAGGAAACACCTTAGACATTGCTCCCTTACACCAAATTGTTTTCTGCTCTGTAGGCTTTCTCCCAACCGAGTTATGAAATTTTTCATAAAGCACTGCTTTTTAGAGAACGCCCCGCCCACCGGGGTGGGTCTCCCTAATTCGATGTGACTTACCAATGCACACCTTTACCCACTTTTTGCCCAGTTTCGAGGTCGTTTTGTCACTGAAATCGAAATCTTGGTCTTCGGTACAATTCATTTCGACGCACGCCACGCCCTCTGTGGGCGGGGCTCCGCTTAGCTGATGTGTGTTTTGTATTTCGTGAGACCTTGCCCACCCATCCCACACTTGACCCGGTCCCTCCAGGCGGATCCCGAGGAGCTAGGGAATTTCGTGACAGACATACAGACAGACAGACGACAGACGACAGACGACAGACGAAGCGCTTTATAGTAAGTAGGATATTTAAATATAAAACAACTCAAGTATATAATTTTTTTTATTAAATCGAATAAATATCTGTCAAAGTGAGATGTTTGTGATTATGCAGGCACAGGAACAAGGCGAATGGAATCCGTAATACACAAATAGAGGAATGCTTTGGTAATCGTGTCAGTGACATCTTCATTCAACAGTGACCGACTTCGCCAAATTTCGTGGGCGATCCACCTGAAGTTAACAGCAGTCAAGGTAAAGCTCTGAGTTCTAAAAAAACTTCAGATAATTTAAAGTTCAGCTTATAAACGTACATTATGCCTCGTATAAGCTCAGCAATGTGGGTAGGACATAGCTGGGAAGAGGAATAAACAGTGAAATGTTTTTGACACATGGAACGTCTTCTCGGTACTCTTATAAGACCATTGCTCCATGCCAGCCAATCCTGAAGACAATTACATAATTTCGATATGAACTCATAATAACTATTGAAGCTAAAAGTGTCCTCATAATCAACAAAGCAAAAATTCAGATTGAAACCTCACATTTTCCGCACTGTCTGTCAGCAATAATGATCGGCGCTCCACCTCTGGCTACCACTTGTTGTAAAGCGTTCAGCGACTTCTAAAAAGTGCATAACTTGTGAAACTTATTTTGCGAAGTAAGCATATCTTCAACAGAAAAAAAACGTAAAGATTTGCCGCGCATTTCATTATAAATTAACCCATTGGCGACAAGGCGATTTTTTATATTTTCGAAAAATACGTCATAATGCACCAAATAGTGGGTCTGTGATGGTCGTCTGTCTATTCACGTCTGTCACGAAAGATTGTCATCGAGGACTGGCATTACCTCAAAATCCGTCTGAAGAGGCCGGGTGGAGCTTGAGCTGCGAGTAAAATTTGCAAAGAAAACCAAAACGTTGATGTTCTAATTGGGTACCACCGTAGATGGAGAGCGACGAAAGAGGTAGTGCCAAGGGTAAAGCGACAATTCCTAATTTGAATCGTGAACAACTAAGAGACCTGTAAAAGTGGTAAAGATGTGCATAGGGCTGCAAGGTTAGATTGATAAATCCACCACGATAGACGGACCTCCAAGCGAACGGTGCTTACTAGAGTCACAACCAGGCCATAATATTGTACGATAGGTAATAGAAGAAAATTGGAGTTGAGCAATACCTAGTATCTATCTAGCTCGTATGAAATAAATCCCGGACTGGGCGGGGCATGCACCCTAGTGGGCAGAGCTTGCGAAGATACCCACTATTAATTGATTAGAGATTTTCGATTCGTTTGGTATATTACTACCTACCGAATATACTGTGTCCTTGCAGATGATCATGCAAATGCGTAAATTCTCATCAACCATCGCTAATGGACCGTGTTTCAATTCACCGGACATTATTCCTTCGCAATGCATGTAAGAAAGTTCCTGAAAGGTAAGAAATTTAGAAATTTGGTTTCTTCGTACAATAAATTTATTCCAACCATCACCTGTTGTTGACGCTAGTAGAAACGGCATTGGTTCTAGTTACGGTGTCAAGAGCGAACACTAGGGGTGGAATGATTTATTCAAGAGAATAGCCCCTTATATACACACTCTCTCACTATCATGCCATTCCTCTTGATCCTTCTTCATTCCTTCACTCTCGCACGTTCGCTCACACCCCCTCACACCTCCCCCTAGTGACCTTACGGTCACTCATCATAGGAGGTCTACCGTGTTGACTCTTAGTACACGACAAAACACTTGAACCAAAACTCATTTATTCATCGATTTATTGCCCAACCCCCGAGGGTTGAGCGGCCCCCGCGTCTTCATCGCTATGCCCGCTACTAGAGCGGCTGCGATTCAGACGCCTCGGGGTCTCTCGGCCGCGATAGTTCGGGCGGCCACGGTGGCTTCCGCTTCGCCTAGAGCGGCTAGCTCGGCTTCGACTAGAGCGGCGGGCCCGGCTTCGACTTCTGCTCCTGGAGTGACTTCTAGGGGATCGACTTCGCCTCGAGCGACCGGACCGGCTTCGACTCCTGCTCCTCGAACGGCTTCGGGTGGATCGGCTGCAACTGACTGCTTCCTTGAGTCTCCGGATTGCCGCCCACAGCGGTTCATTGCGCTGTGGACGGCGTTTGCCTCCACGTGATCTCGGTGGGGCCGACGGCGGTGCCACGCACGACACGACCGTTGGCCACCCCACCACCGGCGGTGTCTGGACAGCTGGGGCCGCTTGTGGCCCGGCGATCAGAATCACTGGCGGCACGGCTTGCGAGGCTTGTCCCGCCACTCCTGGTATCGTTCCTTGAGCTGGGACGGGGACGGCAAACATAATTGAGGGTCCATACTCCTCAGAGCCCCTTTTATAGGGCCTCGAGTGATCTCGTTTGTTTTTGTTTTCCTCTTTCCCTGCTATCCCTATCATATTTATCTTCTTCCGCTTCCTATTTCCCAAGAAATCTCATCCTGATCGCCAGTTACGGTGTCAAGAGCGAACACTAGAGGTGGAATGATTTATTCAAGAGAATAGCCCCTTATATACATACTCTCTCACTATCATGCCATTCCTCTTGATCCTTCTTCATTCCTCACACTTGCACGTTCACTCACACCCCCTCACAGTTCTCTAATAAAAATTATTAGTAAGTGAAAACGTGAATTACCTTAATTTTTAACGCTCCTTCAAGACATGTAGCAAAGTTGAAACCTCTTCCCATAATCAACAGTGACTTCTCCTTATAAATCTCTTCAGCAATTTTCAACACTTCTTGATCCAGAGTTAGCACTTCACGGATCAAATCTAATAAGGCACAGAAATTTCTTCTCAATAAATCAATTTTACATGTTGCCTCTTTAGTACCTACCTGGCAAACTATTCATTGCGTTTATAATCTCTCGTCTTCTGTTGATCATTGAAATACGGTCGTCCGATAGAAACTATGCAAACATAAGAAGGGCCAAAATTTGCGAAGTGTAAGCCTACAAAGATGGTTGTGAATACTCCAAAAAAAATTCATGGATGAGAGTCGTCCTTATACAAGACTACGATGTAATACGAACCTTGGTGGAAGCGACACCGATCTCAGGACCTGCATTAATGTGTATTCCACAGTGCGATTCACGGCAGATCGACGACCCTACTGTATTTGTTACTCCAATGAGAAGGGCGCCTCTTGGCTTACAGTATCTGAATTTTCAATTCAAGACGCAAATTGCATCTCAATGCCTCGGCGATGATTTTGAAACGATGCATGCGAACAATCGAAGTACACGACACACCGGAAAAAAAGGTCTCTACCTAATGATCCGTCCTTTCAATAACAAAGCTTACCTAAGGGCCATCAGGGTTATCAGCTGTTTCACCGCTTTGTGAGACGAAAATGCAGACGTCATCGCGGAAAATTGGAGTCTGACGATCAAGGAAATCTGACGCCAATTCCAGCACTACGGGTAGCTCCGAAAGCTCTTCCAAAATCTGGAAACGAATTCGGAAATCCATAATCGAAATTCCACTTTGCAAAACCGATTCGTTGTTTTATATTGAGAATGCTCACAAGGAAACAACTGTACCTGTCGGCATGCTAAGCCTAGCAGAATTGTAAGACGTGCCACAAGCAACCATTATTAACCGGCGACACCTCTTGATATCCGACACGTAGTCCTGAAAGTTGTTAATCCAATAATCTTCTTCAGCACGCGAATGCGTGAGACCAGAAATTGAAAATAAGAATAACGATCGCCTTTATTCCAGGTCAACCTTATCTTAGCGAAAAAGAATACCTTTTCGCAACATATGCAATATTGATTCTAAACTTGACATATCTTGAGTTTCATTTGTACTCACCTTTATTCCACCCAGCACAACTTGACCGCTGGGCAACAGGCGACCGCGCATCGTATTCACCACTGAGTCAGGTTGTTCAAAGATTTCCTAAAAACATATGTTACTTGAGAAAAAATAGAAAGAAATCGAAGAGGATTCGGAAATATCTTACCTTCTGCATGAAAGTCTTGAAGTTGCCCTTCATGATTTGCTGCAGTTCTAGATTCAGATTCTGCACCTCACGTGTCTGATCCGATGTGCTGTCCGATGCTTTTCGAGTGAAACGATGGATTGTGAGCGCTGGAATATTGCTCTAACCCACTACTGTTACTGTGAACACGAATCAGACTTGCCACAAGTACCGCTTTCCCTTCACTGGCATGTTATCGTATGTTCAGAGTAGACAGTAGTAATAAGTAACAGGGCAAGCAGTAGGGAATTGTCGTGCAAGGACGAGAGGGGGCATATTTTTCATTCGGGCAAAGGTGCACTTAGTGGCAGAGATAACGGTCAATTTTTGAGAATATGGCGCTGTTTGACGCTTTTTTGCGAAACATCTTAGATTTCTCAGGAGGAAATCATGTTTGAGGGATATTGGGGAGAAGCGAGGCACGAGGTCAAGTTCAGTACTTTGCGAGTCGGAGGGAATTAGCTCCAATTCCTCGATCCCTATTACGCTGCGAGATCGCGGACGCAGCGAATCGCGTTGATCGCAAAGTCTGACTCGGCGGCGGTGCGCGGACAATGTTACTCACCACAACAGCTACTTAGAGGATCAGTTGCACACTTGATGGCAATGTTGACAGCCGTTTTCTGCCATCATAGAGGTAGACTTCCACGAGTACATGGACAAGAGATATTACATTAAGGTAATTTCTAGTAAATCGCGCTGATTGAAATTGCTTCAAACTAATGTGGTAGGAGAAAAGTAATAAGTTGAAGCTTATAAAAAATGCACACCTCCATCCTCCACGAAAGCAACGTCATCGTCTTCCAAAAACAGTACTTGGCTTGGTGTGCTCAATGATAGCAGCCGCGTCTGACGCAACGAAGTATTCAACCTAAAATAACACTTTGCAATGCACTCTCAAACTGTTGATTAAGCACTCGTTTGGCCTGCAGCACAACCCCCCGCCACCTTCACTTTCTTCACGATTGGGGGCAGCGGACGCGGCGAGCGCGCCGAGTCGCACGGTGCCTGCGAACTCGCGGTCGGCTGTAAATGTAAACAATGCATCCCACCACAGTCGCGGCAGTCTGTGGCTTGTCCTACGCTCGCACGCGGTTCCGCGCCACATCGTGAAAGAAGTCGGAGAGGACAACCCCCCCACAGCCATTTGCTAAGAAGTTGCCAAAACAAAGCAACAAGTGGCTGCTATGCAACAGCGCGTTTCATTGCTACGTGATAGGAAATCACCTCGAGATAAATAGATCGAAAAAAAAACCTACCTCCCATTCTTCAGAATCAAATGGTCGCACGATTGGTGGTGGAATTATCGCGTTCCTTCAAATGTGCAGATCGCATACCTGAAGAAAGATGTACTCAAAGTAAACAATAAACAGTATTGGAACCATCGAAAAACTGGGAAGGCCAGCTCCCGAACGCGTTGCGCGAACGCAGCGTCTGTAGGTACGCGGAATCCGCTGTGTTACCAGTGAGAGATCAGTACATTCGGGGTGCAATAGGCACGATTCATATTATTGAAGTGTGCCGCGCACTGACTGAAAAATAAAGACTTGACTTGCCCGAGCATTGAAAAACAAAAAAGCACATCCCTCGACAGCACACACAAAATGAAAGCTATCGATTAGTGAAGTACAATAATAAGCGATAGATGAGAAGTAGCTTACAGTGAGTAGCTTGCGATGAGACAATACGGCGAGCTGAAATGCCAAAGCTTGAACAAGAACGCGAAACCCGAAAAATAAGCCAAGTCAGACAAACACAAGCTCGACTTGGAACAAAATGAGTTAATATAATCAAAACAGGTATTTGATTACGGTTATTGTCGGTTACTGTGGTAGAGACGGACAAGCAACTGAACAACGCACCAACCTGACGAATGCCTTCCAGGTGATACTTATTTGGACATTTCCCCATCGCTTAAAATAAGGCGCATATATTATTATTATAGAAAAGGTTGCACGGACGAGACCGTTTATTTCACGGTTTTTACTGTGTAGTGCGAACTTGGCAGTGATTCTTCAATATTCTATTCCCCGTAGCTGAGCTTGCCGCAATTGCAGACTTAGCATCAGAAGCTTGATGGTCTCGAAAACCAGTACCATGTGTACTTTTTCGAAGCTTTGATGCCATTAAATGCCTATCCCTCACTATGCCCGGCCACAAGAAAAAAGTTTAACCTCTCCATTTCCTAATGATAGCTCTTTTTACAAGTTTGCAAAAAGCTTTCTAAACTAATAAGCTGGGAATCCTTTCCAAACCCTGATTTAGCGCCTTTCACGCGGAGCAAAAGAGCAATGCACTTCGTTAGGCACTGTTCACACCTTGCGCCATAGCCGAAAAACGCTCGAAACGAACGAATCTGCGGATCTGCGAAAGATTCAAATGCGTATCGATCCACAAAAATGGGAGGAGCGTCGAATCGCGCATTCGAATCGGCGAAAACCTTTTAAGGCCGATGTCAGACTTTGCGAATCGCGCGATTCGCTAGCGTCTGCGGTCGCGTCGCGGCCAGTGAATCACTCAATTGGCTGGTACCGCAACGCGACCGCGGACGCTAGCGAATCGCGCGATTCGCAAAGTCTGACATCGGCCTAAGAGAGGGTGATATATTACCTATCTCAACAGTGCTGAGTGGAAGGGCGCATCGTTTCGCGCTTTCGAACCTCGACGCGAAACGTTGAGACAGAAACGATTTCTTAGGCTGGTGTCAGAGACCGCGATCCGTCGCTCATTCAGCGATTGGTCGCGATTGCGCAGAGTTGTCGCGACGGTATCCATAAGTGCCCATTCAATACTGCAAGGTGTTCTCCAATGCCGCCGCCACTTCTGCTTGATAGTGATGGCTGAATGACGACTGCCCTCATGATTCCACTTGTTTGATATTATAGAATCTAGAATTATAGGATAGAATAGGAACGAATCATGAGCATTCAATGAACTGATAGACATTGAACATGAAACAAGTAGAATCACAAACAGTCGTCTTTCAATCTTTACTGCCAAGCAGAATTCGCAGCAGGATTAAACAACACCTCGCAGTATTCATCGGGCACTTCCAACTCCTGTGATCCATCGCAGGTTTCGCGCAAATCGCGCAAATCGCGAAAATCGCGCAAAGGATCGCGGACTCTGACCAGCTCGGCAGTGGTTTCCTGGCTTCCACCGTAAGCGCGTTCGCGGTGGGGCCCGCACTGCCACATGTTATCGATTTGTTTTCGTCGTTTTCTCTGCGCCCTCCACGACGAGAGCCACGACGAGAATGTGGTCGTCAACTGTACGGAGCGCCATCGCTGTAGAAGCAGAGTACGCCAATACATCGGTTCTTTCTGCTTCTTTTTGTAAGTTTGTAAGTTGAGGCTCTACAATTCCGCGAGGAACTAAGGACGCGTGTAGCGTTCGACTTGTCGCGCAACCGGCAGAGACGGACGTTTGCACGGCGAAGCGGGTGCCGCAGGAATTCTATACGGCTGCCCCGGGGTGGTCGCGAGAAAAGGTGCTGTACCCCAGGCCTAGTCCCGGTCAGAGGATTGGTGCACACATCCGCCGGTCCGATCCTGCGCGTCCCAATGCAACGTGGTTACGGGTGTGGTTCACCAGGACACGAAAGCGACTTTTTCGCGTTCCGCAGCGCGAAACATTTTCCATTGCGGAACCTCAGGTCCACCGCTGATCATCAGTGGACCCAGGGTTCCCGCAGCGAATCATCAGTGGTCCCGAGATTTCTGCAACGCACAATGTTTCGCGCTGCGGAACGCGAAAAAGTCGCTTTCTGTTCTAGTGAACCACACCCCGTGATTACGGTGAAAGTTACGGGGAACCATCCTGATAAATCGTTCTTATAAACGTTGGGAGGGCGGGTTGACTACGTCGACACGCATCTAACCTTTTCGCATCCGCGTTCGCGCGTGCGGAAATTCTCATGTTCGATACGCAATCTGTTCGCGAATTCGAATATTCGGATGATTCGAAAACTGTGAACAATGCCTTAGGGGTCCGTTATTGTTAAGGTGCACTCATTGCAACTAAATCTACGACCAACTGCACCTTCACTCCTACCGCATGCCGCGCCAGCTGCGGTCACTGTCATGCCTTTTTTAGGACTGAGCGAGCGGAGTTGTGCCAACGTCTCAATCGATTGGAATGGGTGATTCGACCGCATCACGAAGTTATTGATGAAGCTGTGCGCCATAAGGAGGCAATAAGCTCGACCAGATAACGTAAGTGGCCTTCCATTTCTTTGGAGGTTGATCTGATGGAAGCATGAACCCAAGAGTAAAAGGATTATCTTGAAATTACATAACAAAGGTTAGTGGCTTAGTATAAACGGTGTTATTGCAATACTTCGAGCAAGGCCAAGTAAGCTGGTACGAAACGTCATCCAGACGCCTATGTGAAAATGTTTCGTGAAGAGTTCGTAACTAAAGAAGTACGACAAGCAATTGTTTTTCGAAATATTTTGGCTCCCACTGGCTCCCAGACAATACCTAACCATTTGGGCGCGGCCGCGGCGAACGCGGCCGAGTCGATTGTGCCCGCGAACCGTTGAAAACGCACTCGAGGTGCCCGCGAACTGTGCTGTGCTGAGTTCGCGGGCACCTATCAACTCGGCCGCGTTCGCCGCGGCCGCGCCCTAATGGTTAGGTATTGTCTGGGGCGCTCCCCCTACATGTCGTTACGATCTGGATGTACACGTAACGTAACGTCGAATACTCAGGCAAGCTGATGCCGCACTACTCGGCCGCGAATGCCGCGGCAAACCCGCGGCCGCGCCCCAAATCGTGAAGAAAGTGGGGGAGCCAAAAATTTTTGCGAGCTTGCTGTGTTCATTTGTGCGTTAGTTCACCGTTCCTGAATGATGAACCTCGCCCACGCCGCTGGTAAACGCCGCTGGTGAAAAGATCAGTTCCCCCAATAATTTTCTTTTCCACGACCTTATCGTTAGTTGATTGAAGGCGCAACACGTCACTGGAGTGAAGCCATCCGCGAGAGGGGTAGAAAGCCCGGTAAGCCCTACGGATGTACCGAACAGGTAGCACGAAATTGCTATGCGGAGGATCTGAAGCGTGGTGTTTCACGCGACATTCCTGCACGAATTGACCGATCATGAGCCCACAGAAAACCTTGAAAAATGTAAGCCCGTGTCCACTTGGATCCAAAACTATTTCGTGTTCTCTTTCGTCGATTCTTTTCTCTCTCCCAGGCGCTCAGGCTTTACCACGGTCTTGCCACGCTCTTGGACTTCTCCCAAGTTCTAAGGAGTGAAGTTTTTCATTTCTATTTTAGAGTTTTCTATTATTCCATATCTTTTTTTCCTCGCTATCGGTCCACTTCGAAACCTCCTTCACTTTCAAGCGAAGATACTATGCCCAGTATCTTCGCTTGAAAGTGAAGGAGGTTCGAGTTTCGGGTTAACCCTGGGGCAGCCTTCAAGTTGGACGCGAAGATTTGTGCGCATGAGCTGTACTGCCAGCTAGGTGCAGTAGACTGCGACTTTATGAGGTCCTCGTTCTTACATAGCTATTTTTGAGGGCTAAAAAAGGGAGAATCAAGTTAAGAAGAATCACCAGGTTTGGAATTTGGCGCTTGCATGTGATCAAAAAATACGAACCTAATTCATACAACGGTATAAACCTAGTTATTAATTCCGCATTTTTACGAACTCTCCACGAACATTTTCTTCTGAAGGCAATTAGTGAACGTTTCTCAATAAAATTGTTCTTTACCCTCTTCTATTGACGAGTGCTCATGTTTCCATGCCCAAAGACGATCTAAATATCGATATTGTGCTTGGTTATGGAGCAAAAATTGAGTAATCAATACAGCCTACTACAATCGGTGACAATCGTACATCAATATAAGTACTATTGGGCAAAAAAAAACTCGTACCACGGCTAGTGATTTAGGATTTCCAACCTTCCTTCTTTTTAGGAATGTTTGTAGTACTAACCTAGTCAGTAATACAAATGTTACCAAAGAAATCACTAGAATACCTTCACAAATAAGGCTTTCGTTTTCTGCCCTATCAGTAAGTGTACAGTACATGAAAACGGGAACCTGCTAACAATTTTTCGGTTGGCTTTCCACTAAAACTGCTTCCGTTCCTATGGATCAATATTACTTGTTAATGCGTCGCATCCCACCGCGACCATTTATGACAATCGAGTAAGGCTTTAATGTTTTCAATAGCATAAATTGGACCTAAATTCGCACCTTTGCTATAGGAGACAGGGAAGTGATTCGTTTGAAGTGGACTATTGCTCTTTATGCCAACCAGCAGGGGTGAACCACGCCGCGTAGCTACCAGCTGACCAGGGAATCGCGACGATTTGAACGCCAGCGCGAAAGCTCCTTCCTGAATTTGGTTGTCATCCACTTGAAACAGATCAATGAAATTAATATGATGATTACTAACCAGTTGCTGGATGACCACCTCGACAAGCTGTCGGAACGAGAAATTCGGGAATAGATCATGAATGTGCTGTGTGAGCTTGGCGATAACTTCGGTATCAGTTTCGGACTAAATAGAAGAAAAATATAAAAATCGCCTGATTAAGTGGCTTTCATTTACAGTGCAAGGCTCAATGGCGACTTGATCATGTGAGACGCGAGCAGTTGCGTAGCGGTTTCCAGTTCGGATCAATACG